TCATTTGTAGATTTGTTTATACTCATCACATAAATTTAAATATTATAACTATTGTGGTAAAACTGTGATTATGCGGTTAAGATTATTTCCAAGAGATATATTGTATTTACATTCCACTAAATAACATTTCGACAAACTCCACTGATTATGTATAAAATCTACTTCTAGCAATCACTTATACTACAGTCGAACTAATATTTTAAAAAAAATATAAATAAATACTTTTTAAAACAATAAATGCTGTTTTTTAGTGTTTCATCGAGGTCAACATTAGATGATCTAAATTTTGCGAATGAGTTTGGGAACTAGCATGCAGACAAGATACTTTTTCCAAATATTTTGATTTATTTCATTCTGTCTTGAACAACATATTTGTTTTTTCTATTTGATTATGTAGTTGTTTAGATATTTTAATTCATCGGCAGAAGCAATTTCTCTCATTTTTTTCGCTTAATTTGTGTTGACTTGTTTTAATAAAAATTTTCCTATAGTTGATCAGGAATTCTTCTGATAATTGTGATCTTACCATTCTTCATATTTGAGACTTGATATATTATTTTTATCGTTATTTGAGATTTGGCATATTATTTACTTGTAAGATTTATAACCTAATAGATAATATGGTTGTTGTCGTTTTTATCAAAATGCTGCTTGTTTATCTTTTATTTAAAACCTGGTTCATATAGTTGCTTAAAATTTGTTTGTGCGAATTTTTAAATAGTGGCTGCGATATAGATCATATTTTAAATATTATTTAAATTAATTTATTAAAGTAATGTATGATATTCTATAACATATCAAGGTCTTTTAATGCGGATAAACGCCTTTCGAAAAATTGTTTTATCTTGCAAGTTATAAATTGTGTGAAATAACGATCACAAACTAAGTATATATACTCTATGTTATAAATATTTTTTAACTTTATAGTAATATCGTAAAATGAGTCATACAAACATTGATTATAGCGAAGTGAATTTCCTTGTTCGATGTTAATTACAAAATTCAATACACTGATTTCTTGTCTGTAATCAAAACATAACTATATTTCTGAAAGTATTTATTATCTTTACTTGATAAATATAAAATCATTTTCTGAAAGGCATATATAATTATCAAAAGGGAAAAAATGATAGGATTAAAAGATTCCTACAGCACTTACAATGTATATCGAAAAAATATTGATAAAAAAATGTAGATTCATATTAGTGTTTTTATAAATATAAAAATAGTGGTTTATAAAGAAGCAGATTCATTATGAATCTGTTATTTTATGAAATTAATACACAATATCAATTTTATAAATGAATATATTTATTTTTAACTGGAGTTCAAGGTGTGCTCTGCGATGTCAGTCTGACATTGTTCAATGTGATGTTCTTTTGATATTGAATTTTTTTTCGAACACAGAGCTCACTAGTCAGTAGTATTCTTCAGATCACTAGGCAAACCTTTTAAGCCTATTACAAACTTCTTAATTAACTGTCCAATATTATATTCGCGTAATCTAATTGTTATCTTAATTAAAATTCACTTTAACCATTCAAACTATTAAAAAAAATCATTTTTTTATATAAGTTTTCTAGTTTAACGTTATATGTCCAAGGAACATATGCATAAAAGTAAGGTGACCATATTTTTTTGAATGAAATCCGGGACGGATTATAAGGTGTGTGAGAGGGGGAAGAGGGCTTGTGAGCTAAAAATTTATGTGCACATTTTGTCGGTTAAAATTTTCTAGTTGAAATATATTTAAGAAAATATTGGCAATCAAAACATTTTTGAAAATTCGGGACAAAACACCTAAAACCGGGACAAATATATTCTTTTAGAAAAATCCGGAACGCAAGGCGGAAAATCAGGACTGTCTCGGCCAATCCGGGACGTATGGTCCCCTTAAGTTAATTTATAATTATATAATAAAAATTGTTTATTTTTATTTCCTTGCCAATTTCAAATTGATTTATCAAATTTAAATTGTATATTTTTTGTATCAAAATATATCAGCGCTGTTGTTTAATATGCGTTTACTGTTCAAGAAACAAAGAGTCCACGATGGAAGTCCCGAGTTGCCATTTTGCTTCTTGCCTCACCCACTGAGGTCCCAGTTGGCTCTTCTCGCATCTAAATTGTTGTCATCCGAGATACATTCTCTAAATTTATACAATTCATTCCACTTATCTTATTTACCATAAATTGTATCTTTATCATCGAACTTTTCTAATTTGAGACAATTGACCGTTGTAACCTTGCGATACTATCTCTCTAACCAATTTAAGATAACGATTTCGCGTGCTTGCAGTCAATTTTGCCAGGTATCTCTCAGGATTAATTCTTGGTGCACCGTGCGAAAATCTATTTATTTTTATCATCCATAGCTTTAATACCTCGTGTCTACATCATAGCATTGTTCGCCGTCAGACCAGCCCGTGTTGCATAGTAAAATCGAATCAGTCAGTTCGCGCTAGTCATGCAGCAATGACGCTTGTGTTATACCGTTGATATAAATCGATTTCGAAGTTGTTTTTGAGTTTAGTGTGTATAAATAAATATTAATTAAAATTTAAAATTTCGATATGTCTGAGCGAATGAAGTGTTTGAATAATGATGGTGAATGCAGTAGCCTGCAAGTTACTAATCGAGAGGATATTGCTTTGCATGATAGGAAGAGCGGATCGGTGAAGGTAGAGATCACTGCTCTTCAGCAGCCCTTAGGACAGTCCCAACAGAGGACGTTGACGCACCTGGTCAAAAGAGACCCGGTTGAGTTGGCCTTTCATGACCTGACGTACAAAGTCACCGAGGGCAGAAAGAAAAGTGAGTACAAATCTTGTTTTATCGACTGTTTATATAATATTTGTGCAATACGGAAAATGCATGCTTGTTTGAGAGATGTTGTGAGTTAACAAGTTAAATATGCATTGAATTATCGTCTTCCTTATGGCCTTATCTACAAAAATCCTTAATTATATTCAATATTTGATTTAGAATTCTAATTATTAGCTTTCATCATTATCAATATTATTGTTACATTTTTCATCATTTTTAAAAATTACATATTCCGAATCTGAGCGGAATATGGCCGAATGTTAACATAATCATATGGGCTCAATATTAGAAAACAATATTTAGCTTACGTAAAAAAACATATTCAGCTCAGATTCGTTTATACTAGGGAAATAACATATTTATGCCGATTATTCTATTTTCCTCGATAATTAAGAATTACCTATCAACATTTATATTAAGTTTTATAGTTTTGTAGTCATTCAAATCATCGTAAAGACAAATGGGTGACTAAAAAATTTCTTCGTTATTTTACACGAAACCTACTTTTTTAACCCTGAAAAAATAATTTAATTAGTGCAGCCCGTATAAACTACAGTTCTTCAACTTACTTTGAAATAAGTTTAAAATTTGAGGGTTAAATTCAGATAAAAATATTGGTACCATACAGTATAGTATGGACTCTATATTTTCATACAATCTTGATTCCAACAAAATTGATATTTGGTAGATCATATTTTAATATGCGATTACCTTTTAATAATTTGGCCTTTAGCATTAAAATAATTCGATTATGCATGCTATTTGGAATAATTCAATATAGTTGTTCGATTTTTCTTGAAAATTAAAACAAAACTAAACCGATTGTGAGAAATAATTCATATGTATGATATTACATTTATAGCTTGTAATTTATCTTAACGCTAATTTTAACTTATAAAACACATCAGAAACAAATGAGAAAAAAAAGTTTATTATTATGCTATTTTCATTATGGATTAACTTCAAGAACTGACCTTACTTCTTTATATAATTAACATTATTAAAAAACGTCAATACTTATCGGATTATGTTACTCAAGGTGTATTTTATTTGTGTCTAATAGAAGATCGATAATATTCTACGTATTACAGTAACATGATTGTGAGAAAGGACTTTTCTAACTTAAAATTTTATTTATGCACCCAATCCAACTAGTTTATCTTAGCTTTTCCGTAATTGGATTTTAAATTTAAAGTAACATTTAGAAAACATTATTGAAAGCCCTCCTATACCTACTTTGTATTGAAAAACACTTTGTAATAAATTTATCTAGAACAATATTTCTTTAATTACCATTTGAAGTGTTACATTGCATTCTTTGTTCTAATAACTGATAAGAATTCTACATTATTTATTTTAATCTTATCAGTAGTAATTTGTTATTGATTTTCGAACGTGCGTTCCCACTGAACACAATAACCTTTTGTAGAGTCCTATATTTGACTTTTTGTCAAAAAACAAATTTTACTTACATATATGTGGACTCCATTGCTTCATGATGAACCTTCTAAATTTGGCCTCGACTTACTTCGGCATTGTTTTTTGTAATGAAATTTACTACGAAGCGACTGATTTTAATGGATATAATGATCGTATTAACAATGAAACTACAATAGAACAATTTTTAGTTTCTATTGTGTATGTTCTTTTTAATAAAATAACGTTTCCAATCATTTTCATTTTCTGTCACAATAATTTTTATATTGTCAGAATAATTTTGTGGTATATGTCCAAGATTTCCTTTTATCTAACCATTAAAATAATTTCGCTGTATTAGCCTAGCAATTTTGAACTATTTGTATGTTTAATTTTACTTATTCATTAGTTTTAATACATTTTATTTATGTTTGCTTATTAGTTTTGGTATGCTATTTTTATGAAATATGTATACATCTGAATCTAGTCAAAGTGAATAACGATCAGAAAGAATAGTGTTCATAATACATACAATTATGAATAGGTACTTCGAATTGCATTTTAGTCATATTTTAACTGCAATCAGAACTTTTGTTTTACAAGTAAACCAAGTGTTAATACATCCGTATTTGGTAATGTGAATAGTTATTAGAATTAATCTTATAGGGCTTATATAATATAAAATAAAAAAAATTATAAGTATGAAATTAGTTTTACATACTTTAATAAAATTCGTAATAAAAAATAATCACTTTAACTAATAATTATTTAATAATTAAAAAAGAAGATTTAAATAAAATAATAATATTGTATAGATGTATAGATTTTGTAGATGTTTTGTACGATCTCTCATACCAGACACTTCCGTCTGTCTGAGATGTAAAATAAAATGTAATTTATTATAATATAAAATTTTAATTTTCAATGAAAAAAATTTAAAAAAAAAAACTGAAAGTAAGATACACATTACCGTACAGCGTTCTGCGAAATTCGTTGTATAGATTACTTGAGTTATATAGGCATAGAATATAAGTAAAGTAATTTATATATGCCGAAGAGGTATAATTTACTCAGCTTGGCAACATTAAGATTATTTCTTAAGGGCCCATTCACCGGTGAAAAACTATCTTGTGGAATATCGACAACACTTAATTGAGAAATATGTGCTCCAATTATATAGCTGTACAGTTGCAACTAACTATGGAACAATATCAAATTACTAGTATAATATGTTGCTTACATGTTCTAGTAATCTCTTATTTTGTAATTGACCATGCAAATTTTATAAGTATGATATGCTTTAAATATAAGCTAAGAAAGAAAAAACTATTATCTGCTTGATGAAGCATTATATTTTGGCCCTTTATTGTTATAGTTTGTAAAACGACTATGAAAATGCAGGTATATAACAAAATTGCATATAATAAAATATATCCTCCCCGGCGGGGAATCGAACCCCGGTCTCCCGCGTGACAGGCGGGGATACTGACCACTATACTACCGAGGACACGTTTGTAATAAGCAAAGCAATATAGGCTCATTGTTGGTATAGAGTGGTAGTTGGGAAATTTAGTACACACTTTTGGGGTCATTTAGTACTTACAGATTAAGTAACAACTTATGCTATTATTTGAACAGACTACGAAAAATAAATTGTTATAGTGTCTTTTCATCTCTTCTTTCAAATATATTGTACATTTTATGTAAAGTGATATAGCTTTAAACTTGAAAATTATTGCCCTCATAGATCATTGTCTGATAGGATAAATAACAATAATAAATAGTAGCCTCAAATCAATGATCCCTTCCTTGTTCAATATTCCCATTATCATTTATTACAATTATTAACTTCTTTATTCTTTTTATGTTTTTATGTATTTTCTTTCCATATTTTTGCTTCTATTGCCCTGACCCTGTGCTTCGGCTTTCAGTTTCCTGTATTTTCTCACCTCGCATAAGCCATCAATCATCTGGGGGTCCTATCCAATTGCTTTTCTTTCTAATGATCGTGCTCAGTAGAGTTTTTTCTGTCCCACTCTTCTTAGGACTTCTTTATTTGTTACCTTATCTGTATAGGATAAATATTACTTGTTTTTTTATTTTTGATTAATTTAATGCCTATATATATTTATATATATATATATATATATATATATATATATATCAATATATATATATATCAATTTTTCAAATGATGCATCTGTTTCATTATTTACCACTATGACACGTTTCTTTCATATGTGCTGTCGATGACATCGGCCGGAAACAGAATACATTATACAGTAAAAAGGTCAAAGATCAAACCGTGTGTAATTATATTATTCGCCTAATCCAAAGCTGATCACCGAACAATAACGTTTTTTGTGGAAAATATACCCGAAATTCTAAATTTTCATTATGTCTGCCGTCGGGTTATTTGCGCATAATTTAGCAAGCACTCTTGTCATTATGACGGAAATGGTTGTCATGCTAAACTAGTTTTACTTTGCATATACAAACACAAGGTTTTTGATAATACTAGATTTGATTTAAATTTATTTGATTTGTTTTATGTGCTATGTTTTGGTGTTGAGTCACAATATATGTCTGATACAAAAGACTAATAGTCTAATGATATAAATAACACTAATAAATTTTTTTAATTTTATTTTATGCAATTAGCTGTTAATGTCTTTTCAATTTCTATTATTCATTAACATTTACATTCTGAGAACATATATATATTTGTTTTATATTCATTGTTTTTGTTTTATGATAACCTGTTTTTGTATTCTGCACTCTTGAAACGCTGGATCTATGGTTTTTGTCAATTACCAAGAATTTAAAAAAAAATCGAATATCTTTTAATTATAAGAGAATATTGGCATTAGCCCCTTTAAATAATAAAATATTTCAATTTATGATTTTGGAATCCCACCATTGTTTTTGTTTTATGATAACCTGTTTTTGTATTCTGCACTCTTGAAACGCTGGATCTATGGTTTTTGTCAATTACCAAGAATTTAAAAAAAATCGAATATCTTTTAATTATAAGAAAATATTGGCATTAGCCCCTTTAAATAATAAAATATTTCAATTTATGATTTTGGCATCCCACCAGTTACACAACGTATTTTCTAAACTCTAATAAAAATTTATTTAAAATATAAAATTAAATATGCTTCTGTTTTTAATGGTTTTAATACTCGCCTTTGAATGAATCTCTCAGCTAATTGAGTAAAATTTTTAATAAACTTCAGTAAATTGATTTTTGAAAAAACACTTTATTAAAATAAAAATATTTACACAATATCAGTGCCAAAATATTTACTCACCTGTCGGGGCAAACAATAAATATCTATTTAAATAAAAATCAAATATGACTTAGCCGGGAAGCAATTTATTCTCACTTTTGTAATTATTCTAATTTAAGTGTGATTTGTAAAATTAATTATTTTAATATAAAATTTGATTTAATTACTTTGCAGTATTTAGTCAATTACTTTGCAGTATTTAGTCAATTACTTTGCAGTATTTTTTTATTTGAAATTTGTGTTGTAAAATATGCATATTTTTTTCTTGATAATCGCTCT